GATTTTTAGGTACGGGTCTTTGACTCCTCGTCTTATCTTTAAGTATGTTTGGGTCGGGTTTGTCACGTTAGCTACTTTGAACAGTTCTTGCAGACCCAATTCCTTCACTTGTGCCAGTATTTGTGGGTGTAGCCTGCCTTGGAGCCTTGTATCATCCACTGGCGTGAGACCCAGAAGCTGAGGGATCCCTGCCCCATAATGTGGGTCCTCCCGTGGAAGCTTTAGATTTTTTAACCCCTGGTTTTCAGCACTGATCTTCCATGCTGATTCAAAGAGCATATATTGGACAGTCATAAATACCAGTTTTGCTAGTTGCTTTATATCAAAGGGAGTTACCTCCTTGGTGGTAAGAATTGTAGCATATTAGCAACTGCAGTAGAACCCAAACCATGCTTGGCCACAAGCTGGATCCTGGCACCCCCTTCCTGCCCCATGTCCTGGTTTGGAGACAAACTCTAGAAGAAAAATGCTCTAAAATGGGTGTTTTTCTCTAAAGAGAGAGGGCTTCAATAACTGTCCTTTCTTCTCCCAAGGAGAGAAATGAATACTGGGGATGAAATAAAAGAAATTATAAAAAAAACCCCAAAAAACCCCAAAAAAACCCCAAACAAACAAACAAACAAACAAAACCCACAAACAAAAAACCCCAAAACCAAAAAAAAACCCAGAAAAACTGTTTATTAACAACAACAACAACAACAAAAGTGCCCACAAAGCACATAAAAAGAAGGAAAAAATAAAATAAAATAAGAAAAAAAAAGAATAAATTTGAACCTTACACCACACTTCCACCTCGCCAGGCAGCCGAGAGGCAAAGATGCCCTCTTTGTCTGTGGGGATGGGAGGAGAAAAGAGTTCACAGCAGCTGGGACCCTGTTGGATTTTCTGACGTGGGTCTTCTCCTTGCACAGCCAAGGTTGGTGGTGGATTTTAATGTCCTTTATTGTGTTGGTTCAGCTCCTGCAAGGTCTCGGGTTCGGGGCAGTCCTGCCGGCTCCCTGGACAGGCCAAATAAAAAAAAAAAGAAGTCAAAACAGTTCAAAGAGAAAGGAGAAATAAATCTCCGAGAGGATTTTTACAGCCCTGACAGAGCCTCCAGGCTAGGAGAAGTGAAAAAACCTTTTTGCTTCACACTAGCAAGAAATCCCCAAACCAATCCAACAGAATAACAAAGTAGGGCCCGAAGCACACAGAGCGAGCATTTTGAAGCTACAGCACTCGATTTCTGGGCATAAAGCAGATGATTAGGGAATAAAGTGTTGAGAGTTTTTTGCAGGACAATGGACATGTGCAACATATGCACAATCCAGCCTTCACAGAAACTGAGTGAGGTCACCATGCCCTTGAAGGACACAGAAGGAGAAGAACACGCTCAGAAGCAGACAGTTCAGGATGCAGAGGCAGACAAGAAAACTGCAGCAAGACATTTGAAGAAAGACTAACTAAAATTAACTGAAATATTAAAATGCGTGCGTAGAAGGATTTAAGCAATCATGTATTAGCTTGAGGTGTGAACAATAGAAAACAGTACAAGTACAGCTTGCTTTTTGCAATAAATCAGCTTCACTTGATCATATTGATCATGGTGTGATGTCCACAATAAAGCATCATTGTAAAATCACCCCAAGACACCCCCACTGCTGCTAGCCCAGCCCCACCGCATCTCCAGGATGCTGGCAGCCATGCTCTGGTTCCTCCTGGCATTCCAGGTCTGGGTATCCAATATCCCATCATCCATGGCATCTTTGGCTCCATCCAGCCCTGCTCACTCCAAAGGGTTCTTGTCCAGGTACCCCATGGCCACACACAGGGAAACCCCAGGCTGGGCTCTGTCACTGCACAGGAATCACAGGGCGTGCTGAGCTGGGGGGACACAAAGGCTGGGGGTTCCAGAGGGACTCATGGACCAAGGAAAGGGAAATGGAGTGATGAAAGGAATGCACACAGGACGATAAATGTGGCTGGAACCCGTGTACAAACAGATAAAAAGGACTACAGTGGGGTTGTGGTTATGCAGCAAGAAGCAATAGCACATACCCAAGTAAAAAAATTCAGGGGAAGGTCACCTTTAATAACAAAGCATTCAATGAATACCACCAGGGACCCCTTTAGTCGACCCTCAAGGACCATAAAATTACTTCCATAGGCGACAAATGCATGGAAATGACTTTCAGGAAACTGACATTTCTGTATTAGCTAGGAGACACATGGTAATGAATATGTATGATTGTGATGCACAAATATCTTTCTGTAAAATGTCGCCTCAAACACAGAATAAGGAGAGATCTTGCATGTGTCCTGCACACGATACCTGCTCTCTAATGTTTCAAGTTGTGTTAGAAGTTTATCTTCCAGCAGATTTCAGTATCAGTGAAAGCTGGGAAAGCCAGGAAGGGTATTTGGGGATCCGAGGGTGTGAAAAATGAGGTTCACTTTTCTGGTAAAATTTAATAAGTTTAATAAAAAGGCAGTAGGAGACAGAAATAAAGCAAAGGGTTAAAAATGTCCAGGTGCTTGGCACTTAGCCAAGACCACACTGTTATCCTCTGAGAGACCTCTTAAATACCCTTTCCATTACATCATCCTGTTGCATATTCATAGATCCTTATGTATATTCATATTTTCCCACTAGCTACTTTACATATTCCTGGACGTATTTTTCATGGCCCCTCCCTGGGTCGGCCTTTTTAGAGCATGTGTGTTTCTTGGCTGTGATTTTTGTCCGTTCTCTTTACCACTTCCAGTCTGGGTCTTGGTCCATATTTTCTTCACACAGCAGATGCTGATAGTTGGCATTTCAATAGCAGGGTCCTCATTTCACATTCACTGGATGTTATCCCGACCAGACAGTTCACTCATAGCTATATCACCACCATTATTACTGTGTCTAAGTTTTTGTTAATAGCAGAAATAAAGGCAAAGTTATTTTAACATTATACATATAGCATTCATCTTCATATTGTGAAAAGCCAACAATATAACATGTATTTATAACACAGGGTCAAAGGTGGGTGCAAGACCTCCCAGTGCCAAGGGAATGGGGGTCCCAGGCTGGGGAGAGCAGGGAGGGAGCTCCAGAGGGTCCCTGGTGTTGAGGAAAGAGAGGTTATGTGGGCTAAGAAAGGCAGGAATGGGGGTCCATGGGCTCCCAGGGTCAAGGAAAGAGGGGCTATGGGGTCTGGGAGCGACGGGGTACCGGGATGCAGCTGGGTGTCGGTGTTGTGGAGTGGGGAGCTCAGACGGGCCCTGGTACGGGGAAAGGGAGCGCAGGGGGGTCCCAGTGCCCGGGAGCGGGTTCGGGGGACCCTGGGCCGGGGGTCCCGCTCACCCCGCGCCATCTCTCCCCGCAGAGCGCCCCCGGCCCCGCGATCGGCGCCGCCGCTGCCTCTCCGCCAATGGAAGGCCGCGAGTGCAGTGATGTCACCGGTCGCTGGGCAGATCGGCGGGAGCGCGGCGGGGAAGGGTCGGGGGCGGGAGGGGCGAGGGGTGACATCGAGGAAAAGGTCACCGGCCGGGCACCAGCGAAAAGCCGCTGAATGTTAAGCGACAGCGCGACAAGGTTCAGTCTGCTACTTACAGACAGTTAAGGCAGACCGAGGGAAAAAGGATAAAAACCAAAAAGGATAAAAACCAACAAAATCCAGTTAATCAAAACAGAAATTAACTGTCTGCGTGTCTGTGTCTGTGTGTCTGTGTCTCTGTCTGTGTGTGTCTGTGTGTATTTAGGTGCGTTGACGAAGGATAGAAAGGACAAGGATAAAAAGGAACGCAGCCTAAAAGCTTAACAGCGCTCAAACTGAACAGTGCTTATGCCTTAACACTTTAACAAAGGAATAAAACTTAATATTATTTAACTTAACATATAACTTAAAGTAAACTTACTTGCAGGCCTAACTTAGATATCTAAGGTACTTAAATGACTACGATAGCATCGTTTCTCCCAGATTTGCTGTGGCATATGTGCACAAAAAAGCACACAGCCACAAAGAGCCGGTGCAAGGTACCAGTGAAAAATTCCTCTCCAAGCACAGCTCCAAGGGGCTCCTTTTTTAGAGAGCCCCAAGGGATGGCCTTTATCACAACAAGCCTTCATCCTGGCCTCATTTTGGGTTGGCAGCTTTCTTTCAAAGTGTGAGAACAAGGATTTTGTCCAATTAAGGCAAGAAAAGCAGTTTCCAAGGCTGTTCATAAAGAAATCAGGTGCTCCTTACACAGCAGCACTGCCTGGAAGCACATTGTTTCTGACAAGCTCAAGAAGAGCTGGGCCCAGGTGAGGCTCATCAGGGCTAAGGGCTAATGAACATTTCTTAGACCATGGTGCAGCCTGGAAAAGGCATGGGGCAAATCCACCACTACAGGGAATCCCTGGGGATTTACCTGGATCCCCCTGGGAAACTCCCTGGGAATGCATGGGATCCCTCTGGATCTTCCTGGGACTCTTCCCATGACCCCAGTTAGAGTGTACACACAATTCTTGTGTCTTCCATTTCCAGTGCCTGCTTTCCCAGTGTGCCCCATACTGCTATTCCCCATTCCTGATGTCTCTCATTTCCAGTGTTCTCCATTCCGAGTTCCCCATTCCTGGTGGGCCCTGTTACCAATGTTCCTCATTCCCGGTGCCCCTCATTCCTGGTGTCCCCCTGCTTGTGGTGGTCCTGGTGCCATGGCTGCATCCCAGTGTCTCCCAGTTCTAGGAGTCCACTATTCCTGCTGTCCCCTGTTCCCGGTGTCCTTCATTCCCAGTGTCCCCCACTCCTGCCACTTCCAGTCCAGATCCTGTGGAATTCCTGGCAGTGGGTCTTCTCTCCAAACCCTCCTCATCTCCAGAGCCACAAACTCAACTTTTGTTCTCTTTGTGCTCAGGAGCTTTCCCTCCAACAGCCCCTGGGTATGGGCATCTCAGGGATCACCTTGGGGTCACCTCAGGGACACCTCATAGTCCTGGTCATGGTTGTCCCTAGGTCTTGATCACCTCATGGTCATGTCCTGGTCATCTCAAGGTCATCTACTGGTCACAATCATCTCATGGTCCTGGTCCTGTCATGGTCATAGTCGGGGTCATCTCATGGCCATGGTTGTCTCATGGTCACAACCATGTCATGGTCACAGTCAAGGACATGTCGTGGTCAACTCTTGGTCACCGTCATCTCAGATCTCATGTCAGCCAGCTGATTGACATCTCTGTTGATTTCCATCACCGAGGCACCATGACACAAGCTCACAGCTGGTCCCTGATGAGGATGGAGTAGATCCCAAGGGTTGGTGCCGTATTTCCAGCAGATGAACGTGGATGGACTGGAGCTGGGCTGCAAGGATCTCGACACTGTGCTGTGGTCCCGCTATTACAATTTTTAGAGATGCCTCTCTCTGAATTCAAGTCCAAATGAGACCAAGTTAATAGTATGGATTTTATTTAATAGTAAATGAGAGAGAGAAAGAAAGAGAAGAAACAGAAAAAGAGCTGGGTGGAAAAAAAGAGAGTGACAGAAAAAGTATCACCACTCTGTGGATCCAAACAGCATCCCATTGGGCCTGTAACAAGTGAGAGGGGAGAGCTTAGACAAGTGTCTGCCTTTGTCCAGGTTTCTGGCAGTAGGCAGCAACTTCATTGAGGCAGCCAGCACCCAAAAACACACTTGCTCTCAAGTTCTGAATAATGACCAATCAGTCCCATTACAATTTGAATTATTTATTTAGTAGACAAAAGGGAAAAACCAGACATGAGACTTTGAGAGGCTTACTACACAGATAAACTAAATAAACAATTAGTAGGTTCATAAGACAATGCATGATAATAAAGGTACCTGTGTTACAGCTAGAGAAGAATAGCAGAGATTAGGAGCCAATGTCACTTACCAACAAGTGACACTGGGGTGCAGAAGTCTCCTTCATCCCAATCCTCAGCTGGGAAGTAAACACAGCTTGATGTCGAGGAGAACTCTCCACACACTCAGAGAATGTATGAGAGATTTCTGGTTTTATGAAAATTGCAGTGCTCTTGTGCAAGGCCTTAAAAGGTGTCCCCTGTGTGTGGCTTTCCTGGGGTGGGGGGGTTTTTACTACTGAGCAGTTTTGTGTAACAGAGGCTGGGTGCTCACCGCTGCTGACCAGAGGTTATATCACACCCCTAAAATTCCCCACTTGGCCCCTTGGCTGGGGGGTGTGTGCAAGCCTGGCCTCGGCAGATGAGCCTGTGGGCCATGGCCTCCCCCACCCCAAACCCACCCAGAGATGATTTTCAGGACAGCTGCTGGCTTTGGTTTTCTGGGGGTTACTTTCCTCTCCCTCAGCCTTGTTTATTTCTCTCTAAACATGAGATAACTGAACAACAGTGTCACCTTTGTCCATCTCAGGCCCCCACCTTCCCTCTCCCCACATTCCCCTCCCGGGGGCTCAGGCGGGATCCAGGGGGGCAGCGCTGCGATCTGCGGATTTGCCTGGCAACTGATGACTCGGCGGCAGAGCGTTCCCTGATTGGCTGATGGCTGTCGGGGTGCTGCAGCCGTGGGTAGGGGGCAGGGTGGGATCGTGGGCTGATGGGTCTGGGGGCGCGGGGTGGTGCGCATACCCAGACCCATCACGACTCGCATAACAGAAAGATTTTGATCCCCTCCACAGCCCCCTCAGGATGATCCCCAAACCCCCTCAAAGCCTCCCAGTCACCCAGTTTGGCCCCGCCAGTGTCGCCGGGGGTGCAGAGGAGCCGATGACACAGATTTGTGGGTGCCAGGACCCCTACAAACTCCTTTACTGCTGCTCCAAAGCCCCCCCAAAATCCAAGGAACCAGATCTCCAGTCTGAGGGTGTGCGGGAGGTTCAGGGGGCACTGGTGGGGTGCAGTGGGGATGGGGTGGGGGTCACCGCGACACAGCGGGATTGGGGATGGGGGCTCTGGTCTGGGCCAGAGCTGAGAGTGAGGGGCTGAGGTTGCAGCAGGAGCAGAGGAGCCCTGTGGGGAGAGAAAAGGGGGTGACACTGGGAGGCAGGGGTCCCATTCCTGGGGTGGGGGCACATCCAACATGTCCATGGCCCCTCTGGCAGCCCTGAGGGGGACCCCAACCCACTCAGGACAGCAGGGACATGGCCATCACCGGCAGCCTGGGAAACGTGGCACCCTGAAACACAGAGACGCCTCCATGAGTGCTGAGGACTCCATGAGGACCACGCACCCCGAATGTCCCCTCACCTTCTCCTGCAGGTACAAGCTGAGCCCCAGCGCCAGGAAGATGAACCCCAACACAAAGCCCCCGACCCCCTCGGCATCTTGCACTGTCCAGTGATAGCTGTGGGGTGCAAGGGGGTCAGGATGGGGCTTCACAAACCCCCCAGGATCCCCCAAACCACCTTTCAGCCCACCCCAGGACCCTTAAAACCAGCTCACAGCCCCACAATAGCCTGCAAGACCCCCTAACTCTCCCAGTTACCCCCAGGACCCTACAGGACTCTCCAAACATTCTCTCAGCCTCCCCCTAAAACCCCCAAACCACTCCATGGTCCTCCCAAAGGACTCTCCAAAGCCCCACATGTCACCCAGAATAGCCCTAAACCCCCTCCCAACTCCTCCAGGACCATCCCAGGACCTTTCTCATAGACCAACATCCCTATCCAGCACCTTCCAAACCCCCTCCCAGGTTCCCCCAGGCCCCCAAAACTCCCTCAAACCCCCACCAAACATCACAGCTTTCCCAGGACCACCCCAAACACCCACCTTGCAGGGGGGAAAGTCAGTATGGGGGAGTCAGAGCAGGGATCCTCCCTCTCTCTCTCCCCAGCACTCTGGGGACTGGGCTGTACCCCAGTGCCAGCTCAGGGGGTGCTCCAGGCTGGGCATCCTGTGCTCCTTGGGGACCACGTCGGTGGCATCAAGTGCCCCCTGAGCTCCCACCCGCCCTGGAACCACCTCAGCCGCACCTGGGCAGGGTGAAAATGCATCGAGGAGCAGAGCAGGCAGCCGGGGACGAGCTGGGAGCTCGAGGGCACCAGGGAAATGGACATGCTGGGAGGCACAGAGAAAGCATGGAGACTGGATGGACTGAGAAGGCACTGGGAGAGAAGGGAGTGGAGTGGGGAGACACTGGAAATGGGCTGGAAAAGGCTGGGAGGGAATGGAACTGGGCTGGGAGGCTGCAGATCCCAGGGCCTGGACGCTGTGGGTCTGCCTGGCAACTAATGAGTTGCTCTGGTTGGGCCTGGGGCTGGGAGCTCGATGGCATGGCTGAGATGGGCAAGAGGGGAACAATAAGAAAGAGGGGACAGATTGGAATTGACTGGGATGGACGGGGAGAGCCCCGGGGAAGCACTGGAAAAGAGGGGACAGATTGTGAATGGGGCAATAGACCATGGGGATGGGGACAGAGAGGGGCGGGGCGTTCAAAGCAGGCACGGAGAGGGGACAGGAGACCTCGGGGACGGGCACGAGGAGGGTTGAGGTGTTGTAGGACATTCCCAGGAAGGTCTTGAGGGGCTCCAGGGTACTTCCCAAGGGAAAGGCCGAGGGGACATGCTCTGCCCCACGCTCACCTCTCTGATTCAGGAGGAATGAGGCGAGCCCCCATAGCTGTACTGACACTGGGCACTGCAGCCCCAAACTCCAGCTGGCTCTTACAGCTCCCAGCAACTCGCTCCCAAAGGGAATGTTCCCTGTAGTGCCCCACCTCTCTGTCCAAGTGCATGTACTGTCACCAGCTAAGGCTGTCATGAACCTCACCTGGTCTGTGAGGTTCAGGAAGTGGCTAAATCTTTCTATTCTGACCATAAAGGTGAGTCTTGCTCGGTTAGCACACCTGTTATGTCTGGTGTTCTATTGCAGCTTCCACAAATAGGAACTCCTAAATCTGCTTGTTTTATCTTTTGTTCCATGCACTCCTTCTGAAAAATGCATTGAAATAGAAAGCCATCATCTTATATTTTAACCAAGATTCTAACCAATATTTTGAAGTTATCACTTATTTTGCTGCTGATTTACCAGATTTTCAGTCAAATAGAAAAATGCAATGCATTTCACACTGAACTTGGTGAAATCAATTTCTACAAGGTTCCTAGGCATCTAAAAGCAAACCTGAGTTAGGCATAACCATCTCCTTTTGTACTTGCCCCTAATGCTTGAGCTGGGAATGACTGAGGGTCGTGCTGAGGGGTGTGCTGGGTGTTGGGGGGTTGTGGAGGAGGGTGACCCCAGCCAGATGCCAGGTTCTCCCAAAATCATTCTTCTGGAGGATTTTGTGAACAGCTGGCTAGTTGACAAAGGTCACACTGATATAATACCATTATTTAAGGAAGAAGGAGACAGGTATAGGAGCCAGCAGTCAGTATCTAAATCAGGCAAGGGCACTGTGCCCTTGGTGCAACATCAGGATGGGGGAGAGGATCCTTAGTTAGAAATATGAAGTAAAGATGAGAACAGCTGCAACATAGTAGTCGCAAGAATGCTAAGGTAGGTGTAGTTAGCTGATAAGTAACTAACCAATAATGAGCTCGCCTTTTGCAATATGTATTAGCCTCATTAACACCAATATAAATGTGTGTGCCTATCAATAAAGTTCTGAGATTTGCTGATCACTCATATTGAGTGCCGCATTTCTTCCGCCGCTTACCACACATTCTGTCACTCCTCCCCTCACCTGGACAAGGGAGAAAAAATAGTGTGCATTCCAGTGTTGAGATGGGGTTTGAGTTTGTGGTTGGGATATGTGGGGTGATAGAGGAGCATGAATTGGGCTTTGAAAGGCTGTGGGAAACTTCGAGGCATCAGCAAATCCTAAGGTAACCACAGACTGGTGTTTGAAGCAGCAACCAGTGAGGGCAGGAAGACATCAGTAAATCTTGGGACATCCTGTAGTCAGAGAGAGTTTGGGGAGCAGCAGATGGTTAAAGTGTGCAGAGAAGCAGCAGAAACATCGGGCAGTGTAGGACAGTCTGTGGCAGGGACAACCAAGGGCCTTGGTGGGGCTGGGCACCCCCACATTTTCCAGCTGTAACGAGTACCTCTGACTTCCTGCTTTACCAGAACCCAGGACAGTGTTCTTTTCTGGTCCTGGCCTCTCTGGGCTCTTCAGTGATGGCCCTCAGTGGGGGCAGTCAGACCCTCAGAGTCTTGGGGGTTTTGACAGACTTTGACTCCTCAGGAGTTTCAGCCTCCCAAAAGTGCAGTTCAGGGATTTGGCACCATTGGGTGCAGGAACATGCTGAGTGCCTGACCAAGCCTCAGCTCTGGGTATGATTTCCTCAGTTCCCCAGTCCTTGTGCAATTAACTGAGTGCTGTCAAAGTGAAAAGACCATGAAATTAAATAACAAGAAAGCATTTTTCTAGTTTTTCTGCCTACAGAACACACAGTATCCAGAGCTTCTTATTGAGGCATTTCTTAAGCATGAGCATAGAGCAGAAGACCAGAACTGTGAGGAATTTTTAGTGTACCCCTTCAGGTGAATTGAACACATGCTTTTGCTAAAATACAAACCCAAAAAAGCTCCCCCCACAGAGCTTTGGGCAGAATCCCACTGCCATAAGCTGTTCTCCTAGGACTCTGCACAGATGTGTCCAGAACTGATCTCTCACAAACAGCTGCACCAGCTCAAGGCACCTAAGCCCAGCCTTGGGCCCAGCCCCAAGCCCAGCTCTGCCACCTGAGATGGCACTCCCATTCCAGGATGAACTGGACAATGTTGTGGTTGTTCTTTATCACCAAGAGGATCTTTACTCCCTTACAATCCTTCAGTCTGACAGGAAAGATGTCATTTATAAACAACTCAATAGATGGTGCAATTTATTTTTCTTATCTTCTCCATAGGCAGGGAGGGTGAGTTTGGTTCCCATCTTTACTGCATGGCTCAGAAAGTCACAAGACCTCTAGTTACAAGACCTTTTAAAGATTTATTAACTAATAAAACACTGCTAACAGGGATATTTATGCTTTTGACCTAATCTTTAAATATTTTGTCTTATGCACTCATGGCTACAGTGTAAGCTTTCTTAGTTAATCATGTTATGACACACAAACTTACAGTACATTTTAAACTTCTTGTTACCTTTGTAACTGCTTTTATTTTTCCTCTATCCTAAACTCCAAAACTATAAACTTTCTTCTACTTTGCTTAACGTGTCTCTGCTTTAAACTACAAATCTACATTCTTGCTTCTAGCACCCAAGTTTTGGAAGCCGTTTCTAAGGTCTCAAATCCTGTGTTTAATTCTGTCCTAAGCTTTGTCTTACAGGCCCAGAGTTCTGACATTTCCCTGCATTTCAGATTCCAACAAGGAGGAGTGGGTGTTAATGTCTTCAAAATGCGTCTTAATGTCTCTACCAACCCCAGGCCAACAGAACCCAAACAGTTTGACCCAGACAGTTTGAACTCCTGACCTTTAAGGTAACAAGAGATTTGCACAAAGCCCATTGCAGAGCCTAAACAGCCGGGACTTCTGAACACTGAGGGAAAATGGTGATACCTGCTCAAGGGAGGATACGTGGTAGGTGGTTCAGGAAGGCTCTACCATCCTGGTACCGCAGCCACGGGAAAAGGAAGAGGGCAACATGCGGGACTTTAGGATTAAAGGGGGCTTTGTCCTCTAAAACTGAGAGAGAGACACCCCACGGGAACATGTCCCAGTGGACTCTCTCCCTTTGTTCTAATAAAGTTGTAGGACTCCTCTGTCTCCTTCTGGACACTGGCTTCTTGTAGTGTGGCTTCCCTGCCCAAGCTTCTGGCATTGATAGTTACAGCCTGTTTAAGCCTTTCCTCAGCTAGGCCTTCCCCATTCCAGGTTATTCCTTGGTCCTAAACTACCACTACTGAGCACTTAAAACCAGAATTTGCCCTTCAGGTGTCCTGGCACACCCTGCTGCTGAGGCCTGAAAGACAGGCTGGAAATGAATCCTCACAGACCGATGTCTGTAGGGCAGGTATTTGTTTATTGCAGCGCTGGTGCTGAGGGGGATTTCTCCTCCTAACTCACCCACCCTTGTCAAGTGCAGCAGTATATTTGTATAGTGAATATTGCTTAGCATCACTGTGTCACAACATCATCATATACCTGCTGGAACTAATTTACACAGTGTGATCTCATGGTTATTAGATAGTTCTTCTGCACTGCCCTTGCACCTCCCCAATCCAGGGGTATTCAGGGGTCTTTAATGAAGGCTTCCAAGGTCTTCTTTGCACCTGAGCTTTTCAAGTTTGTCTTCAGATCATGCACAGTTATGATGTTCCTTGGTCTGTCTGGTCTTAACCAGCTTAAGTTCTTTGTTTTGTGGCTAATTGGCTTTGTACTTGTCATTTTTTTTTCATTAGTACTATACCCATTTATCTCTAAAGCTATCCACCTGGTGAGTTTTTTCTTCTTTTTTTCATCTATTCAGCATTAAGCAACTAGTGACCTATATACTAGCCACTAGACAGTATAAGAAGTTGTTTATGTTGGGTTATATAGATACAAAAAGCTATGATTCAGGTTACATAGGTACAAAAAGCTATGATTCAGGTTACACAGGTATCAGATTGTATAGATATATACAAAAAGTCATGGTTTAGGTTATATTGATACCAGGTTATATAGATATATCAGGTTATATTGATCTCTTATAACTCAAGCTATATAATCAGCTTGTAACTTAGATCAAAGTTACACAGGCATCAACACCCAGATCTCATCCCCCAGCACTGTGAGCAGCTCCCTGGCTGCGAGCTGCTCCTGGCAGGCAGCAGAGTCCCTGCCCTGGCACACAGAGCTGTGACACAGGGATCCCATTCTGCAGGGCAGGCCTGAGCACCCCTGGCTGCACAGTTATTCCAAACTGCCCCCCTGTCATCGCAGGCCGTTCCCCAGGTAAGTATTAGCATTGACTCCATGATTGCAGAAGGCTGATCAATTGCTTTATTCTACTATATTATACTATGCTTCTTGATAAACTCATCACCCTTACAGACAGTCTGATACAGACAGATCCAATTGGTCAATGAATCCAACACTATCACCAGTGGCTAACTAAGAAATCACCCTTTGGTAAACAAATCTCCATAACACATTTGAAATGTGAATAACAACAGGTGCAGCAAGTGAAGATAAGTGTTGGGTCGGCGAGAGAAATGCGGCATGCAATATGAGTGACCAGCAAATCTCAGAACTTCATTGATAGGCACATACATTTATATAGGTGTTAATGAGGCTAATACATATTGCAAAAGGCAAGCTCATTATTGGTTAGTTACTTATCAGCTAACTACGCCTACCTTAGCATTCTTGTGACTACTATGTTGCAGCTGTCCACATATTTTCTTCATATTTCTAACTAAGGATCCTCTCCCCCATCCTGATGTTGCACCAAGGGCACAGTGCCCTTGCCTGATTTAGAGACTGACTGCTGGCTCCTATACCTATCTCCTTTTTCCTTAACTAATGGTATTATATCAGTGTGACCTTTGTCAGCTAGCCAGCTGTTCACAAAATCCTCCACAGATAAGAATTGTTTCTCATTCCTTTCTCTGATCCCACAGCCTTCCCCAGGACGCTGCCTGGGAAAGTTGTGCTTGCTGCTCTCTGCGGAGAGAGCTGCGGCTACACCCCGCAGCAGCCCCCTCCTGCCAGGTGCCCTGGGCTGGGCTGTGCCAGCTTTAGGAGACGCCTCCAGGGCCTGCACTCCCACAGACTCGCGGCGTTCCGCGCTGCAAAACCTTTGTCCTCCCGCGAGCTCTCCGCGCTTTGCCTTTCTCTGCTCCGGCTCCTCCCGGAGCTCCCTGCGCTCCGGTGCCCGACACACAACATCCCATCCACCGACGTTTCTGAGGGAGCCATTTACAACAAGGGGAGCACAGGAGGACTGGGCTCCCCAGTTATTCCCTGTACAGTTGGGACCCCCCTTCCCCGCCAGACCTCCCGTTCCCTCAGACCTCTCCCGCTTTCCCCGCGAAAGGTCCCGCTATGCCCGCCCCGGCCGGCGACCACGGCGACATCCCCAACCCGCCCGGCCCCCCAGGCTGCCCCGACACCTCTCTGGCGTCCACGAGCGACGGGCGAGCCCCGCCGATGGCCCCGATGGCCCCGCGGCCGCCGCTCCGTCCGGCCGGGCCGGGCCGGGCCGTGCCGTGCCCGGGGCGGGTTCCGCTAGGGGGCGCCCCCGCTCCCGCGCTGAGGGGCCGCCGCAGCTTCCCGCCCTTCGCGTCCGCCGGGAGCTGGGCCTGCCCGCCCTTTTATCGGAGCCATGGAGAAGGAAAACCGGTTTAAATTGTTCATGCCGCCGCGCCTGAGCGGTGGGC